ATAAAAACGAATTATGCACATGATATAATCAACGCCTTTTTTCTGTGAAGTTGTCCTCTCAATTTTGTCCATGATTGTACATACAATAGTCCTCTTTTCATTGGGTCCATCGAGAATGGCCCACCCTGTAAATTACTTCATAATTGTATTTTTGAGCTGGGTTCGAAAACGGCTTGTATAATACAGTGAATCGGTTTCTCTGATTAGTATGATGAAATAAAATTAATTAAAATTCAGGCACAATTCTTGTGTATTTCAAATGGAAAATGGAATCAACTTATCATTGCTCAGGTGGATGAGGCGAAAAGAGCAATAGTATAGGTTATTCAAACATATTTTGAGTAGGACATGCAGATAGGCATAATGGGTAGGAAAGACAGTGATGTAACATTCCCATAAAACAATCTAAATGCATCTGATTTTAGCGACTTGATTAAATCGGTGTGTTTCATACATTTAGGATTTCAATTGAGGACTACAATTGCATTGAATCATACGTTCAAATTAGAAAATTCAAATGGGAAAACTCAATGCGCCCAAATGATTACTATTCTCGATTCCATACCAATGTTAGTTCCCATCTTGTGTGTGTAGTGCATTTTACATATAATCAATACAAGGCACGGCAGGCGAATAGGTAAAGGGTGGGTTGAGTGTGTTCAGGAATTTGAAGAGAGTGAGAGAAATTATATTTGAATAATTCACATACATTTACACGCACGCAATTTATCGATTGCAAACAATTGAATCACGCATTCGACCTCATCCACGTCAAACGACCGCCGCTAAACTTATCGTGAAATCAATTTATTAACTACCATATAATTAAATTCAAATATAAATATTACATGGGTTTGTATAATGTATTCAGGCATTTGCCGTGAACTTTACCATCACCCCCGCAGAAGTCGGGGGCTCCCAAATATATGCATACATGCATATTACATATTACATGCATGTATGCATTCATCTCTCACTTAGTGTGCAATGTATACAGTATCAACGGAAACATTTTAAATGGCAAATTATGCGGCCATTACGAATGGTCAATTGAAAATGTGCTCGGAAATTTGCTTTATGAATATGATGACGCCAACGGCAATCTCGCGCACTGAATTGCATGAACTTGTTCACTCATTATATGGCCAATTGCAACTTGTTTTTGTACTCTTTTTTTATTTGATTTCATGTAGAATATTATATGTGCCTTCATGTTACAATCATTGGTTTCCAAAATTATATTATATAATAATACAAAATTACAAAACAATGGACAAGTTTAAATTCATTTTGATTGAAATAAATTCAATGTGGAGGAAAAAAAAAATTAGAAACCGTCCAAATTATAATTTGGTTAGTTACACAGTACTACCGATTGTTTTTTTTCGCTGGCAATCGATAGCGACTGGGTAGGCGATTTAGAGGGCCAAAATCTAAGATCAACTGCGTTCCCAGGATATTAAAATTGGCTCAACCTTTTTAATTATCAAATTCGACGTTTTACCTTTTCACCAGTATTAAAATGCAAAGAGGTATTGAACAAATACCATTTTTCTCCCATTAGTGATGGTTTTTTAGCCTTGGTATGTACTAAGAAAATGTTTGGCGTTCAATTTTAGGCGGAAATTAGTGAAAACTATACCCAAAATTTACATCTAGTGGGAGCTATGAAGCAAAATGTCGAGAAAATACTCAATTTTTCCAGTTTTTCGACCAAAGCTCGAGCAGTATACATTTTTTTTCACTTACTGTGTTCGGCAATATTATAGCCAAAGTATAGCTGAGCAACACTCCTGAACACTTTAACTCGAAAAATCCACATCCAGTCCACTTTATTGTCTCAATATCACTTTTCGCTATAATAGGTATTTTCGTGCATTTTCGAAGTCCTGAAAATTCTCAACTGCTAAAAATAGAGCAACAGTTTCTGAAGAAATTTTTTAGTACTCCCCAAGATCTTTGCAGGCCAAGTACTAAAAGTGCTAAAAATATACTAAAAATGTACTAAAAAGTGCTAAATTGTTTTAAACACTTTGAATGGCTCAGGGCAACTTTGAATGATGAAAAAATGTTCCAATTCGTATTAAATACACAATTTTGAACCGCAGTAAAAACTAGTGACCGGTACTTAGTTGGAAAATTGAAATTTCAATCGAAAAATGATCAATACCATGGTATAATTATTAAAACGATTCCACGGATTTGAATTAGGATTTATATAAGAAGTAGGCCATGACGCATTCAACTGCAAATTGAACGGATTCCAATATAACGGAGTGTTAATTCTATTGAATACATATTAACGTTTGATCCTATTCGCCGATGGTTCGACTATTTCTACTTCAACTGCAACGTCTTGCCCTGTGCTGGAGGCAGGTTTTCCGTAGACCTCGTTAATTGAAACTAGGCACATGCCAAGCATAACAAGTGCGAAGACGAACTTTGGTTCCGAAAACATGTTCGTTTGCTTTATGGTTGATTGAAGGTTTGAATGCAACTGATTTCGGTTAACTTTCGCGGGCGTATTTATATTGCAGTTTTTTCACATGAAGGTGGAGGAGCAGTGATATGAGATAGTTTGCAATCAATTCAAGGGAAATCCGAAAATAAGATTGGAAACAAAAAATGAGACATTTTTCCCAAGTAGACATGTTTACTTTTTTTGAGAACATTTGGTGTTCTTTGAAATTTCAATTAAATTTGCCCCTTCTGTGCTATCTGATCACCAAAATGCGTGGAAACCTGGAGATAGTCAGCTGTAATTCAAATCATAGCTGCAGCAGAACGTTGATTGCAGCAATGACTCTTAATTAATGAGTAATATCTTTTGAATGATGTTTTAAATTTTGTTTTTTTTTTCATTGATTATAATCAACTTTTTGGAAGCAAACCATTGTTTGCGTAAAAAACGCATTCTAACTGTGAGTCTGTGGTGAACAGAATGTTTTGATTATATTGCTTTACTTATACACTTTTTTGATTTTGTAGCGCTTGATAATAGAACATCGAGTGTGTCCGAAACGTCGCAACCTGAAATAAACAAATTATCGACAAAAACTTTTTCGTTTTTCCTTAAAATTTTAGATTCTGATTGAATCAAAGCCAAAAAGAAATCACAATGAAACTTTTTATAAAATTAAATAATGCAGTTCATGCCCTCAGTCAGTATACTTCAATGGCACTTTCAACTATTGCCGCTAACGTTGTGTCGGTAGAGCTCGTTGCTTGTTTACATTAAAAAATAATTGTTAATGTTGTTGTCGCTTCATACCCGTGATTAGAATTAATTTGAACTATCTTTACAAGGAAATATTACTGTTCTGCACCTTGGTAAAAATGGGATGATCACGAATTCGAATCTATTTACAAGTTTATGAAATAAATCGATGAAATCTAATATTGAAATAAAATATGTAAGTAAAATTTGTTTTTTATTCAATTTAACCCATTAACGCCCAATGTCCAATTTTTTGCGCCCAAAAATTGTCGATTTCTTTATGAATTATTTTAGATTTTCTTCTATCCTGATCAAAAGGCTTGGAATTTTCACATGCCGTGTGTTAGGAAAGGTTTGTAGAATGTTTTCCCCGATTTTCAAGGTTTTCTAATTAGCAATTTTCCGGAAAATGCTTGAAAATGACGGAAAATGACGGAAAATGACGGAAAATTGTGAAAATTTAGAACGTGTCGGAAAATTCTGAAACTTTATGAAAATCATATTTGGACTCACAGAAGTATCCCGTCAAAATTTCATGAAAAAATTAGACAAATTTTTTGTCTTGGGCGTTAATGAATAATCAAACCCTAGTAAAAGTCTCGATTGATTTCTCAAGCATAAATTCGAATCAACTCAAGTTTTCCATCAGCATTCAATAATCGTTAATTAGATCTTTTGAAAAGTATCAATTAATATAAATCGAATGAAATCGATTGAGAATATATAAATCACAAATCACACTCTGTTGCCGCCGCACAGATGCATTCAATTGCAATGAATAAACTATCAAAAGCGTCATAAATTATATCGAACCAACTACATTGAATGGTTTCAGTGAAAATTGCGTGTGATTGTGTGTCGAGAGTTAGTTGAAATGCCATACAATTCACACGTTGAGTTAGGGAAACATTGTTTAGCTATTAATAGCATGGATTTTATGTGTATATATGTTTATGTGCCGTTAGGATTCGGTCTTTTAGCTTGACGCTCGCAATAAATTGGCATGAAAACAATAGATGCAAATGAAATGTATCCAGTAAATAAATCGTAAAATGTAAATAAATGTTAATCAATAGCGAATTTTGATTATATAACACATCAAAATGTTCGAAATGTGTGTATGTCTGATGATGAAATTGATAAAGAGTACGAGTGCCAGGGCGTAGTGACTAAATATAGGCAGTAGCAAGAACAGCAGCAGAAGCAGCCAGCAACCACAAACACATGCTATTTTGCAAATGTGTTTGTGCATTGATCTATTATACAATATATTAGGTGTATGATTCCATGCCACAATCATATGCATTTTGAATTAATAAAACGATATTATTATTTAATTTGGCTAATTAAATGCATATCAACGTTTTGGTGTGCAGAGGCTCAGATCACTGATTTATAAATTAACTATGCGTTCAAACTCCCGTTTGTGTGTTTACCAGTGCATTAATAAATTTGCTTCCGGCGATAGCAAACTGGCTGCGTTGGAGGGCGAAGAGGGAGTATATAGGTACGTCATTTTTCACTGTTTATACGAATTATTATCGAGCGAATGATTCAAAATGTCAAAAGGTGTCGAGGATCACAGAGAGCACACAGCATACTGAACGAGTGTGTTTGCATTGTGTGCGTTTGATTTGTACCAAATAAAGATTTCCGATATGCTTTTTGTCTTTTTTAGCTGGTGGATGCATAGATGTCTTCTATAAATCTTTGTCATACATTCAATTTGAAATGTCATTGAGCCCTTGAGAAAGGAAGGACTTGTTGAAAACAAAAACTCCTGTTGCATTAAATAAAGTATATTTTTATTTGACTAATTTGAATTTGCCGCCAAACATGTGGTTACAGACAACATTTTTTGCAAAGCAACATAACATCACCGGATGGTGTTTGCGTGCGTTTCCAAACATTTGCAAACAAAAACATCGATCGTTCGAAATGTATTTTGGGTTTAAATGTCTTATTCTAGATTAGTCAAAGATGTATAGTTGTGTGCACGTGTTTTTTTCTTATTCTTCATCTTTGTCGCTGTGCTTCTGTCTATTAATATACTTTTTCTACTATGGTATTAGAAAATAACAAGTCCATTTCTCGAGAAGCCCTTTGTTGGCAACAAATATTCATTATTTTACCTATTCAAAAAAAAAAGCATTCTATATTTGCAGGCGTCTCTCAATTTATATGCCCGAGTTTTATAAAATAAATACATAAAGCATTATTTGGATTATATAAACATCTCTTTTGTTTCTTCTTCAACAATGTCTCTTTTTATATAATATAAAAAAAATGAAAACTAAATTTATTAGCGTCTATTTAAAAATTCTCAATCATGTTGATTTGTTCTTTTTTTTCTTCTTTACTTTAATTGTCCTTCATTTCGTTATATATGTCGGTTTTATTTCTTAGTTTGCTTATAGTACAATTAATACCATTAATTTGTTACATTTGTTCGTTTTCTTTCTCTAAAAGTTTCTTCTGTACCGAGTTGTAAAGAGTGAGAGCGCAAAACAATACACGTAAAGAACAAAATCATAAGTAATATTTTTTATGTGTGTTTAATGAGTCATATGAAAAAAAAATTCTATTATTTTTGGATAAGAATATATTATTCAATGAAAAAAAAACGATTTCTTCTATACAGAAAGAAAACTGTCTATTTGAATGAAAAACAAGGAAACGAAAAGTCGAATTGGACATGCTTGAAAGTGATTTTGTTTTAATTTAAACCATAGTTAAGCAGCCAGCACCCATGCCAAAACCGACACCTTTTGGCCCGTAAAATCGACCATAACATCCGCGACCTTAAATGAAAAGAATTGTTTTTGGTTGCATAAATGGAAAAGACACTTGAAAAAACCATTTAGTAAATAGTATTTACAGTAGATCTCGTTGTCGGGCGCATCGCACAAATTTGTTGAGTCTAATGATTTATGGCATGAGTGGCATGAGAAGCAGCGTTTGTGCCAATGACGATTTTTGCTAATCATCTTTTCAGCTTCGTACACTGGGAATCCACAACGCTGACAACCAGAACCAGCCGGAGCCTTTGCACAAAATAAAATAAGTAGAATGCTATTTTATATTTTCAATTAATATGGTGCAATATTTAATTAAATACCTTTGCACCGCCGAAAGCTCGACCATCCGGACTGTTGTTGAGAAATAAATATTATGATTGTTGTTGTTGTTGCCAAAAATTACAGTTGAATTCCATAAAATATGTAAATTGTTACTTACTAAGCAATTGTCGATTCGCCACTGGTTGAAACCAAAGTTGGTGAGTGACCATAACCGAAACCTAATCACCCCGACAGATACACACGTGAAATAAAAAAAAAACGATATAGTAAATTATACAACGTGAAATTGTTAGACTTCCGTTGGTTTGTCGGTAGAAGAAACTGACCTTTTGGTCCGAAGAGTTTGCCGTAGCATGAGCGGCAATGAATTTCACGGTCTGGACCATCGCAAGCCAATGTTGAATCCAATGGTCGATGACATTCGGCGCAGCTGAAGCATCTTTTGTGCCACATTGAACCCTTTGCCAATTGTTGTTCAGCAGCGAACACAGCGCCACCGCAACGTGGACATCCTTGGCCTGGTGCGGCTTTGATCGTTGTGGTATCCGGGTCGATGAATGGTTTACATTGCGAAATTTGATCCTCCCTACATGTGCATACGTTTTTTTATTTAAAAGTGAGCTATTTGGCCAAGCAATATGCAAGAGAACCACAATTACTTACGATAATCCATCGGTTTGAAGGAAACCAGATCCACAAGCAAAACCATAGCCTATCAATAAAAGTGAATTAAATTTATTTTTCTCTCATCAGTGAAACAAGTTAAATTATTATTGTGGTGTGCATGAACATTGAACAACCACAGAACAATCGAAATTGAAATACGTACCGTGTGGGCCCCATTTTTTGCCGTAGCAAGTTTTACTAAAAAATAATATAAATTCTCGTTAATTATCATCGGAAAGTCAAAATGAAAAATCTGGATTAAAGTACCAATATACATCTCTGTCGGGTCCATCGCATGCGATAATCGAGTCAAGAGTCTTGGTGCAGTCTTTGCATTTGAAGCATTTACGATGCCATTCGCGACCTTTGGATAAAACCAATTCAGCCGCAAACACAACACCACCGCATCGTGGACAACCTTGACCTAATTTATGAACAGATTTTCGTTTTGTTCTTGATTAATAATCCATTCCAGCAAAAAATGTACACCATATCTCACCTGGTGGAGCTTGAATCTTAGCCGTGTCGATGGCAAATGTTTTTGGTGCAAGCTCGCTTGAATTTTGCGGAAAGAAGAAGGAACGAAAACATTTTCATTAGAGATTCAATAAAATGCGTTTCCGCTTTCACCAAATGTGATTCGAAAACGTCTATTTTAATCACATTCAAGATGCAGAGAGTCGGATTCCACATAAACACACACGCAATAATCACGATTCAATACACGCTAAAAATACATATTCAAAACATCATTCAACTCAAATTAAAAACCTACACACAAATTCGATTACGAGATATATCGCGCGACTGAATCATCTAAACATAATTTTATTAATAACTGATAGCAAACATATGTCCTAGTCACACAGAAACACAGTACGATATCAACAGAAATCTCTATATAAAATATGACGTAAAAACTAGCGCTATCTCATGACGTGTTTCGCTACCATATGAACATACTATTGTAAACACAATGGCAGGTCCAGGTCGCTTGGTGGCGCTAGTTATGCGCATTGCCGTAGCTGGCAGATTGTGCACAGAAAGAAACACAAATTTCACGACTTCTATAGACGACTATAGTCATCATGAAGAATTATAAAAAAATCATCATTCAACAACTTTTAGTCATTTTTTCCTTCCTAAGGCGAAACAAACATATACAAAGACAGAGAGTTTTGCAAACGCAGCATAAATTAATCAACATATATATCGCAATTACTGTGGCCACATTAAGTCAAAAATTTGAAATCAACCGAAAAGAAAACATGGCCCTGGTTTAAATTAAATTGAATTTAAAAACATTGAACTAACAATAAGCTACTTTGAGTTTAGACACATGTGTTTGAATATTTGGCATTTGAACGAAATAAATTCGATCGAAAAAAAAATGTGGCGCTTGACGATGATTGGCGTTTTTTTCGGGGAATTAAAAACAACGCAAGTACAATCAACATGTGAGATGTGGGCATACCTTTGCCATTCTTGATCTTTAATATCAGACATGAGGCCCAGACTCGACATACCCGTGTGACCATAACCGCGTACACCAAAACGCTGTGCATAACAACCTAAATGAAATCATGATAATTACTTTCATTTTCTGATTTTCTATCTTTGCTGACATCATTTTTGCACAGTGGCAAGTGCATTTTTTCCACAATCAAACACAACGACACACGCAGTACAATCATTAATTAGGATGGCTTAAGACTACAACTTACTTGTTTTCATAGGTTTCACTTTGCAGGGTGCCACCACCTTGACCGTAGCCATAGCCTTTCGGACCAAATCGTTTGGCATAGCATACTGCATTGCCGAACGCACATTGATATTTGGTTAAACAATAGAAAAAGAATATGTTTACGATTTTAGTCACAATTTACACGAATATCTAACATAGTTTTGGGTTAGAAACTAGGCGACAAATGGCAACATTGTGAAATGGTAAAGAAATACCAAATTAGTTGATACATTTGTTAGTATGACTTAATGTAAAATTTGACGGGATGTCATAATTATTTTCAAGCAATCCGAAATGTTTCCATCGAATCTTTGATGCATTAGTCGAGTTGGCGTTATTTGACTATTGTTTTTTTATGAGGCGTGCAGAAATGCGTTTGGAAAAAAAACACCAACAACTGCACAATGAGTGTAAAATTAATTCATTACTTAAAAAAAAAATGTTTATACTCAAGAAAAACTCCAAATCATCTACTTCAAGTAGATGAGCTTTTAACGCTTACCAAGTAGTAATACATTAAAATTCGAACTGTTGAACAAGCATCAATATACCTTGAAGTTGATATAGCCTTTACTAAAAAATAAACCATTTTTCCACTTTAAATAGTATTAACGCTTTGAACTTCAATGATATTACTGGGTAAGTGTCTAAGTAGTAGAAAACTACTTTTACAACCACCAAGTTGTCATTTCTTCTGCTTGGATTTTTTTCTTGAATATTCAAAAAGAAAAGGATAAACTCCAATGATCGGTTATATTTAAAAAATAAAGAATCCAGTTGAAAAGTGGCAGAGCAGATGCAGACAGAATTCAAGTAAAATTTCAGCCGATGAAAAGCTCGCGGTAAAAATATTAGATTGAGCAAGAGATAGCAAAAGACAGCGAAAGAGTAAGATAGAGAGAGATAAATTGATGATAGAAAATTCTGAGTGAGCAGCAAAATAATATTATATTCAAAAGCGTTTGATTTGGTGAATTTTTAAGCGAAAAACCAGAATGGAAATTAATCGAAATACGAATTCGCAGCTTGCCTTTGCAGTAAATATCCTTGTCTGGACCTTCGCAACAGTTAACCGAATCTAAACGTTTTGAGCATTCGCCACATTTGAAACACTCTTTGTGAAAGGTCTATAGAGAGTGAAAATAAAATGTGTAAATTTAATTCAATGGCAAAAATTCGTTGATTTATTTCGATGACGAAACTGAATCAAGTCAATTGGTAATGATGATCGAATGATAAACTTGTTTCGGTAATTTGGGTTGATTTGTGTTACCTTCTTCGTTTATTCGGAATTTTTCACTTTGGCCCGTAGCCTCTCAATTAAATGCAGAACATTTTGCATAAACTTATTGGCAATTTGGCTTAATGCCAATATTGGCCACTTGAAACAGTGACCGCAAGAATTCAGATGAAAAATATTTGACCTTCCGAATATGTTCGGATGATAAATGTCTCAGGTCAACAAAAAAAAAACGTCAAGTGCTTTGCAAAGCACAATTGAGAAGTGTGCGAGCTAAAGTGTACGGAAATTGTGACCAAAGCAATCATATCAAAAGAAAATGTATGTCAAAGAGAAGAAGAGAAACCGAATTGAGTTGTGATCAATTCAAGATGCGCGCGATTCGGAATGAATTGAGTAAAAGAAAATCGAAGAGAATGCAAATTTTATTTGAATGAGACAGACCAAAGAGATATCTTAGCTTTCAACGAAGTCAGGCTCGTCTTGTTGAGCAATAAATAACACAGAACATGTACTATGCTTGTTATGTGTTTGGTTAGACGATGTCAAATTGGATTCGATTATCAAAATTATTGGAACATTTAGTCACAAAAAAAAAACATAAACAACAATTTTAAAGTGCTGACGTTCTCATTAGGATCCAATAAACGTATTCAGTTCCAATGACTCCTTTTGATTCATTGATTTCGTCGAATGCATATTCGTGTAGCTGAATATTTCTATTGATTTGATTTCAAACACTTTTTTGTTGTTGATTGTGAACGAAAAAGAAATACAATACAATAAATAAATAGCAGAACACGAATCCAACAACAATGAAATGAAAACCATTTCAATGGAGTCAAATTACATGAAGAATAATAACATCTAAACGAATACTTTCAAAAATAAAACAGGATGACAATGATATCTGCTGATATCATTCGGTGGGTCATTTCAATTTGAAAACAAATAAAAACACATTTGACGATCAGACACACAGAAAGAGGTTCTAGATACAAGTGCAGTGGTGTTTATACCTCGACACTGTACCACGACACTATACCTCGGCAGTAAACATTTTTATCAGGTCCGTCGCAGTGCATGGTTGAATCCAATGTGCGATTGCAAAGCAAACATTTGAAGCACCGTCTATGATAGCCCTAACCGAAATCACGATTTAATGCACGTATAAAAAGCACCAATTTCGTTTGATTTTTAGTTTTTAAGATAGTAATCGTGTTTGATTTTTTGTGTTCATGTCGCGATGATGGCGACAACGATGGTGACAACGACGAGAGAGGAGAAAAAGATAGAACTCAAGTTAAAAACAAATGGTGTCGTTGTGGCAGAAAAGAGAACAAAATGTAATAGTATATATGATTTCTACTACTAATCAAAGATTGACCAAGGTTTGGTAAGAGTCTCTTCTCGATTATTCTTTCTTCGGTTTGTGTTGTTTCGTTCTTGAAAGTAGAGATTATACTTGCCTCTAGCATTAGATACTTACTCTTCCACGTGCCAACATTTGTTCAGCAGCATACACCCAGCCACCGCATCTTGGACAGCCCTGCCCTTCTGGTGCTTTTAAGATGACACGTGGTTCCAAGCACGCACCGTTTCGTACTCCTGCCTCGCCATTCCTATAGTTTGATTTTAGTTTTCGTCGTTGTTTGTTTTCAGTTCAGATTTTTTGGTTTTTGTTTTGTTTTGTATGAATTCGTCCCGACCAATGAGTGTGTATGAGAGAGATATTTGAGATTCAGATAGTTTTTGTTTTCAAGTATGTATGTTTTGTGTGTCAAATTGTTTGTGCGTATTTTGTGCATGTGCATAATTTTGAAAGTCGATTTTTGTATCATTCATTTCGATGAGAGAGGGAAAAAAGAATCGAAAAGAATAAAATAATTGCATTAACAAATTGTGTTCCTGCGAATGATTTTAAATTTGCAGTTAGCGATTTTAATGAAATTTAAGTGCATAAAAAACGTTTTTTTAGTTGTGCTGAGAAATAGCTAAATATTCGTTTAAAAAATAAAATCAAAATCATTTTTGTCACTCCTGATAATGGCAACCGAAACGTATTGGATTTTTTCTTTGTGGGTGTACCTATTGTAATTAGGATAATTTTTCTTTTTGTTTGATTTTTTTAGCATCGATTAATTCCCAATCAAAAGCTTTTTCAAATGCTAAACGATTTTGTAGAAGAAAAAAGTGTTCTAGCTTGTGACCGAACTCCCACATTAATTGAAGTCTTTCTACTGGTTTTTCGGTACATAAATAGCATCGCAACGTTAAAGTAAATGAAATAAATGGAACAAATATGTTAAATATGTTCGTGAATGGATCTGAGTGGGCTTATGACACCGTTTCTCATTTGTATTTGTTTTTTTCTTTCTCAATAATTTTCCATTCTCAGCAAGACGGAGAAACAAATTTTAAAAACATTCTTATTTTGGGGCACATTTTCCTTATCCCATGACTGATTTATGGTTAAAATAAAATAAAAATTGCAATTCTTTTTTGTTTGTTTGTATGGCCAGCTGTCATGATACTTGACCGAGATGGGGTGAACAAAATAAAAATTCGTTAGTCACTAATTACTACACGAGAGATCATCATCAGGTACACTGTGATGAGGATCAAACAAAATAAAATGACAAAAAAAATCATTCGTTCGATGCATAAGGTTCATTAAAATAGGGACTCATTCGTTTTGGATATTTAATTGCACTTAAACAATACTTGCAATTCATAAAATAGTGGTTAACCATTACAAATATATTGAATACTCTCTCAGGCCACGCAAAAGTGAACAGTTTTTTTTTGAACATTCTCACCCGTTTGCGAATCACAGGACTTTCATCATCTATAAATGCATACAAGACATGGAAGGCCATGGTATAGGTGTGTTTGTCTATTCTCTCTCAATGCACATTTTGGACTCGAGTCTTCGCAACATAATTTATAATCTACACTATTTTCGTTCGTCTTTCAAAATGAAGGTCTCATTGAATCTCTCAAACCCTTTATTTTTCATTGGACTTTTTGGTTTCAAAAACAAATTCAACAACAACAAAAAAACACACAAAACATTTATAGACGAAAAAAATCTATAAAACAAAACCAAATACTGATGGCGAACTAGTATATACCTATCAAACTGATAAAAATAAAATGTTACAACCGACGGAAAAAAAACTCGGGTTTATTTTTTTTGGAATCGAACCAATTTATGTGTGCTTCATTTTATTCAAATTGTGTATCTTATAATATTGTTTACACGTGACAAAATTTGTTACACAGATGGTTAATATAACAAAAATTGATGTTTCGAAAGGACCATTTTATATGCGCGTATATGTTTTTTTTTTGTTTATCTGGTGGTGTGTGGTCAACATAAACAACAAACAAATCAAAAACTCACTGTCTCTACTACAACATCTACACAACAAATTAGGTGGACTTTTGAATGGTTAGGCTATTTTGTATCAACTTTTTTTGGGTTCCTCATCACGGATTTTATGTGATTGTGTTTTTTTTTATCGATCAAGAACAGAAAAAAATGAAATTTAGCAAAAAATCAAAATGAATTTAACATTTAGATGCGGGAAAAAAGTTCAACGCATGTTTTTGTTCAAAATTTTATAACATATGATTTGTGGATGGTATAACAGATACATATAGATAGATTTTAAACACAAAGTTCGTTTTTGAATTGTTTGCGAAAGTGGCTTTTTATATGTTTTATATGTGGTCCTTTATGCACGTTCTGCGGATGGATTTATTGTGTTTATCTGTTGAACGGACAAAGAACAAGGGATTGTCATGCATGTTTTTTTTTTTCATTTCATTTTTCTTTACAACAACCAAATGATACGTATTTTCTTTTTTCAAAAAAAGAATAAGAAAAAAAATATCAATGGACCATCGAAATGAACACTTTTGAGATGCATTTAAAAGCTTGTAACATATTGTTACAACAAAAGCTTTTGCCATGCACAAATCCCAAAAGTACAATTTCTCAGGTCAAAAACGAAATTAAAAACAACAAAAAAGAATAGAAAAGAAAAAGAATCAATAATTCACAGAAATCAAATATAACAATGACACATTTGGTAGAAAATTTGGTGAGGCAATTCATAAATAAATCTTGTCGAATTCTCATGTCTATTTTTATAAATATATGAGAAAAAAAAGTATGACGAAACAAATGTATCACGGAACAAAATCTCGATTTGGCAACTGTTTACAATTCGTTTGGAATGAATGCGACGAAATTAATTTAATTTTCAATACTTTGTATACGACCGCTCATCATGATCATCATCAACAAAACATCAACAGCAATAGCAACAGCAACAATAACAACGGAATATATTTGCAGTTGATTGATTGGACTTGTTGTTTTTTTTCATTCGATATTTTGTTGCTGTTTCTTTTTCTACTATGAACATTTTATCTTCATTAGGAGCCTTTCCAATTACTGTTTAATTAGTTTTTAAGAGTGCACATTATGTAGTTTATTTTTGGCGCAGTTTATACAATTATTATGATTATTTTTTTTGTTTTGATTCTCAAATTTCGTATATTTGCATAAAAAGGAACCAAAAACAAAACCAACAAGGAACAAAAAAATTCCATGGTCGCACTGTAATTTTAGCCGTGTCAAAATGATTTAAACAACAACAAAAAACGAGATGTGATTAATGCCGTTAATATGCGCTAAGAGTGTTGAAAAAGAGATAGCAAACGAATGTCAAGTGGTGTTGTCCATTTTGTATGAGAATGAAATGACGGTTCTGACCTGAGAGCAGTTTTTGATCAGCAATGAAAAATGAGCAATGAGCTAAGGAAGTAATTTTCTGAGAGCATCTTATTAGTAAGTACTAAGACTGTGTTGGTTTGTCTATGGTTTCGGCTTTTTTTTTCTGTGTGTATACTACTAGTTAGCGATTGGCTTAAGTTTTGACATGGTGATGTAGCTTTTTAATTAGATTTTTGTTTGTGTTTTTGATTTTAAATGCTGAGCACTAACAGGATGACAATTCTTCACAGTTATTATTTAAATGTATTAGAGAGAGTATTTTGAGACGAAATTTTCATGTTTCAATAGTAAAAATTACGGATCAAGTTAAAAAATGCTATTGAAAAAGCTCTATAGCTCCTTGTAATGCATTGAAATTGATCTATTGATGGTGGGTTTAGTTCAACAAACGAAAGATTTAAACATTACTAAGTTTTGTTCTGTGTGTGTATCTATGCAACAGAGCTATATAGCAATTGTTTTACATTATGAGCGATTGATGGACAGAACAAAAGCTGTTTGTGTGTGTTCGTGAGCGAATGATGTGAAAGAAAATTGAAAATTAAATTAAACTCCGTTTGAATCTTTTGTTTCTTTTCTGTTTTTCAGTTGTCGTTGTATCTATTGATTTCTCATTTCTTTTTTTTTCTTTCCTTTGTGAAATGCCTGCAATACAAATTATTCGCGTTATTTTAATGAAATTGATTCGAAATGCATTTGTTGTTTCCTTTTTCTTTAGAGAGTGAGAGAGAGAGAGAGAGAGAGATTGATTTGATTGGATTTGAAAGATCCCTGTTCGTTTGTTATGTATTTATAGAAAATTGTTTACAGAAACTTTGTGTCTTTCTTTGTGTGCCCTAGGCCCTACTCAAAATGTAATGTTCTTTCACTATGACATATTTATTGATAAATTGATTTGTAAGTAGTTTAAAACGGAATTTTTTTTTAGAAAAATATTATAACCACAACAACAACAGAAGTTTGTTTTTACATAACAAAAATATGTATATATTACAAAAGTCAACAAATGCACACAAAAAACCAACACGAACAAAAAGAATTGAAAAAAAATCAAAACAGTAGGTAAAAATAAAAGTTGATGGTTAAACTAAATATAAAAGAATTGTCGACATAATTAAACAGAAACAAAAACCAAATGGGATATAGAGCATTGTTGTGAGAATTTCATAGATAGAAGAGATAAGGAAAGGCCCCCAAAAAAAGATTTAATGTTATCCAGACTGTGTTTGTATGCTCACGTGCGAAAGAATCAATCAAATAGATAGCAATCGAGAAAATTTGTTACACATTTGGGTGACATTTTGGTTTGATGTGTGACATTTTTCCAAAACTATCCGGACAGACTGAAATGCCCTTTATGAGATTGATTCATTCATATGAGACACGAGTCTTTCTTTCGATTCAATATTTACAACGTTTTTCAATCTTGCCGTTTTTTCATGAAATAATGTTCCGTTTTTTTGCGGACAAAAATGGCAATGAACATCTTTTACGGTATTTTATATAATTGTTTTTTTTTATGTGGTAACAAAGAGAACGAAAAATATTTCTTTTTCTTTCTTTGTATGTGTTTGTGTCAGAAATGATTGGTGAAAATTGAGTAGAAATTATCTGCAGAAAATGGTAGAAAGAAAAAAATGTGGTGTTTTACTTACTGGGGAAGATGGGCGCCTGAGTCCATTGACAAGCAACCGGCACCACCGCCGAAACCGTATCCTTTTGGTCCGTATTTACGGCCATGGCAGTTCTTGCAGAACAATTCCTTTTCATGTTCAGTGCAGTTTGTTGAGTCCAACATTTTGTTGCACATTCCTAATTTGAATGAAACATATTGGGCGGGGTAAGGAGGAGATAAATTGGAAAATCAATCGATTAGTAAACGATTCAAATGAAAATGGTACGCTTTCTGTTTGTTTAGGTACCAAAATGGCTCGTCTTTTGATTAGACGTTTTGCAAAAAATCGAAAATTTCTAAATTGGCTTTGCACACTTACCGCATTTGAAGCATGATTTGTGGAATTTATATCCGCCGGCAACACGTTCTTCTGCTGCGTATACGGATTTACCGCATTTTGGGCATTTTGGGTTTTCAGCTGGGACGAAAGGCATTTTGAATGATTAAAGGCTGCAATGGAATTCAAATATACACAAATCAGTATCGTTTTTACGTTTGCCGGAATTTTGTTTTTGAGAAGACGAAACGGAACGGTAAAAGTGAAGTCGAAACTAAGAGATTAAAAAGCGTTTTGTGTTCGCACAAAATAGAAAATGGATTTAACATCAACACAGTTGAGGAAAATTGAAAAATTATCTTGGAAAACGAATTATATTGGCTATAAAATTGTTTGAGTTGAACAACTGAAGAATCCGTAAATTTGGAATCAATTGAAATTGCTTTAGCTCGTCGTCGTCTTATTCGTTGAGAATTCCAATAAAAACTGGTTGGTTCGAAACTCATGCAAGAAAATAGTGGCATCCAAAAATACCGAAAAAGTGGCGAAATGTGTTTCTCTCTCTCTCTCTGTATCTTACAATTTAGTGTCCTTATTAATGAAAATTATGTTATTAGAATGATGTTTCGGCCGCCTTTGTATGTGAATCGCCGTGACTGGTGAATTTATTTATAGATATTTTCCACGGTGCGCGCTGCATAAAAACATCGAGTGGAGGATGAAAACGAAAACGAAGAAGAAGAAGAAGAAGAAGAACGAAACCATACGTTATTTTTAATCGCTTCGAAAAATTCAGAAATTTTTCGTGAAAAATGTGTGAAATTGGATCGTTAGGAGTTTAGAGAGCAACTGGTGGAAGAAGAAAACAAAATAAAATGAAGAGAAAAAAAACAACAACATACGAATATCAAGCAAATGCTAAGACTATGCGTGGGTAGTGTGAGCGTGTGTTGAAAGCGGAGCTGCCTGTGCTCGTGCTCGCCATTTGTCCAGACAGTAAGACCGCAAAAACGTGAGCACTCGGCGAAACGTGCAGACTGTAACACGTTTGCGGTGTTTGACCGATCTGTGATACTGTGTTCACGTTTATCCGGTCACGTTTGGCCGGGTTTACTGTACAGTTATTTATGATACACATTCTTATGTGTGCGCGCATATTACACTTGCTTGGTGCGTGAACTTACTGTTTTCCCTTCTTCTTTATGTGAAAGGAGAAAAAGTATTTTCATCTTGTAAATATTTCGAAATGATTGTTCACGATGAGAGAAAATAACGACGGAAAACCATTGGAAATTTTATCATTTTCAACTGACTAAATGTGTTTGTGATATAATCGGTGTGATTCATATGCAGGAGGTGGGAGAGAGAGAGAGAGAGAGAGAGAAAGAGGGAGACATCGGGATGGAGTCATTTTCGGTTTGTAGCTATTTTAAAAATGAAATATCCACTCCAAGTGACCGTATTTGGGATGTGTTTGAATTTTCAACGCCATCGTCAAACTTGATCAATCTAACCCATTTTCAAGGCTTCTCAAAAATGACGATAGTCGAATCCGTAATCACACAAAGCATTGCGATCGAATTGATCTTACATTTCGGGATTGAACTATCACTTTCGATTGTTTTTTTTCCCTATCATGTGATTGACACTCTCTCAGGCCGGCTTTAAATGAGTTTTTTTTTGGTTGCTCTCTCTTTGCACTTTGTGTAAATGTGTCGTACTCACGATTGGCTCAGAGTATGGCTTACCGATTACGTAATGCGCAGTTATTTATTAAGCCCATTTACAAGTCGCCCGAATATGTGAATTTCGAGAATGAAAACCGATTGTTGGCTATGAAAGACGGACAAACATACAAAACGATCTCGTCCATTCTATTTTCGGATTACCGAAGCAAAACCTTCACCGGAACGCATACAAAATTGTTTTTTTCTTTCTTTCGGTTTTTCCTTCGTTTTCGGTAGTTGCGGTGCACGAGGCGCACACCAATCGAAAAAAAAGAGCAACCGAAAAATCGAAGGCAAATAAACAACATGCCGAAACACCGAGAAACGCTATTTATTTTCAATATTACATAAATATATATATTCGGCGAGTAATTTGAATTTTTTCGGCGTCGGAATGAGCGCTGCGGCTGCTGCTGCACCAAAATAAATGGGCCGATTCGTCTTTAAACTTAGAAAAATGCAACATTGTCGCTTGAGCGAATAAAATTAGGCCGTTGAATGTGTGTTTACATATTTTTTTGTTGCTTCTAACTCCACAAATTCAAATCGCGTCAGGTTTTTTCAGTTGTTTGTCTATTAAATTTGAAGAAAAATGGGCAAACACACAATTTTCTGTTTTTCAATGCGTTTTAAAGCCGTGAATTTGTATAATTCGAACTGTTCCATTCGAATAGTTGCATTAACGGTTCCAGGCCATGTCTCCAGATCGATTTGCATTTTAATCCATGTCCAGTTGAAAATATTTATCATGAATTACGTAAGAAGTTAACTTTGTTCGAATAGCTTGACTTATGTTGCTATTTGCCGATTGATCTGTGCGATGTGAAGTGGTTCAACAAAGCAAAGAATAAATCCACTGGATGAGCAAGTGCAAAGCACAAAATTAGTCGTAACTGGTCAACTGAACCAAAAAAAAACTGTCAAGGAATCACTTTTACTGATCCAATTCCAATCTATTGAGCTGAACTTGTCGTAGCCAAAGGATTGATTTGTATCAAATCTGAAGCACAAACACACCAAACTACACCGATTTTTTTGTATTAGAAAACTTTTAAACTATGTATATCTATTGAGAAAAGCGCAATCACGATTGTTTGAAAATAAAATAACACCGAAAGTAGATATTGAACAAGATATTCACAGAAAAAAAAAAATCTGGAAATATTTCCAATTTGCAACGAAAAAACGCGAATAATCTCCCAATTTCTTTTTTGAAAAACCAAAAATTATGTTGAATTTATTTTATCAGTTGTGAAAAACTCGTACCTGATCGAAATCAAAATTTGCAAAGAATAAATTCCAGAGAGGATTAAGACTGCGTATAGAACTTGAAGTGTTCTCGTGACTACCACAGCGTTCGAATTGATTTGGAGGATATCGGTACAGACGGTAGTCTATAAGTAAGGATCAGTTGCGAGCGCTCGGCATTTCCATTCGTTGGCTTCGTGCCGCCTTCGGTTTCGGGCCGATCGCCCGCGGCTTGCACTTAACACTATGTGCACGACAAAGGCCACCATATAGAACTCTTTTTTTTTTCATTCGATTCGATTTTCCCTCATTTTCCCAGTGCAATTTCACAGGTTCGATAGAGATGACGAAACGATCGTGAAAAAACGTGATCAACATCGTTTCGTCTCGTTTCAAAAACAAATACCGTTTCGTTTTGGCCACAACACGAATCTGTGTGTGTGTTTAACTCAAGCGAATGAACGAATTGTTTTTTGTTCTGATGAGGAAACAAAAACAACAACATTGTTTGTTTGTATTATAACCGCTGTGTGTTTTACGTCGTTTCGTCGTTTACTTTGTGATTTAGTGGCGACCACTTTTTCTATGTATAAGTGTATTTTTTTATCAATGTTTTTGTCGTATGTGTAAGCGGGCATTCCATCTCGTTTAGTCCAATTGATATTTGGATACAGATACCGAAACATCGCTCGGTTTTGCGTAAGTGACGGCAATGGCCATACACAATACAACCAAAACTATTCGATATGGACTGACGAAATTTCGTTTTTAACGGTATATTTGGGAATGAAAGAGGAGGGATGATCTCAAACAGATAACGAAGAAGGCGCAGATTTTTAAGCAATGATGTAAACAGGTAATATTTGTTGAATGCTGACGATCTCTATATTTCTTTCTCTATAGATATAGGCCATATAAAATCGTCACAAACAACAAATTATGGAGGCCAATGGGACGGATCTATTTCTCTCATTCTATCTTGTGCGGTGCGCCGAGATGTGGTGTATGAGTAATGTTTAATTTTATTCTGCCAACGTCATCGTACCGAGTAGTATGATATAGACGAAAATATATTTATGCTGTTTGTCGCGATGTTTTTCTCTACAACGGCTGTTGTCATGAGCATCAATTTTCATAGTTAGTGTATCCAAAATTGACGGCTTCTTCTCATATTTTGGCGAATGAGCCTAAAATACACGCAGTTGTCAACCGGTGCATAATTCTTTCTTGTGCTCTCTTTCTATCGCGGTTTTCTTCATTCAACATATTTGTACATGCAAAAGTTGGTATCCATTTCACGCACCGTATAAAGACATCAAAAGCGACACCTCCAATCGATTCGACCCGAACACTTTTCTGAATACTAACATTGCTAATTTTATTTAAAAAGTCATTTACCATGATATTTCCGGAATAATTAAGATAGTTTTTACGTCATCTTTTTTGGAAAAATTGAAGAAAAAACACCCAAAACCATGATCAAGCCTTTTCAAATGATATTTCAAGCACCATTAGAGCTTTATGAAATGTGCGAATTTAATGCAAACTTTGACCAACTGCATGTGTTGGCTCTTTGGAGAAAACAAAAGCATATGTATATTTTCTAATTTATATTAAAAACCAGACCGCAAAGCTTCGCTTCGCTCCGCTGCATTCTTGAGAGCTATTTGGTTTTGTTTCACTTCATATCCAAGACAAGTGCTGTTTTTTGCTCAGGATACATTTTTGAAATTTTTCAAATTGGGCCGAACGGATTTTCGGTCGTTATGCCTCACTAGACCGCACCAATTAGGCCATTTACCACCATTTATCCGGATTGATAGCCCCCATATGTAGGATAAATTGGCTCTCTTATGTGGAAGATGTATCCGAAGATATATTTTTGAAAAAGTGTTCCAATTTAACTTATCAATGGGCTATTGATCCGGATAAATGGTGGCAAATGCCCTAATTTTGTGCGATCTAGCGAGCCATAACGACCGAATATCATTTCGACCCAATTTGGAAAATTTCGAAAATTTATCCTGAGCAAAAAACAGCACTTGTCTTGGATATTATTGTATCACAACAAACTATATTTTGCACACTATATGAAATGTTTGTGGTCGAAGTAACTTTGCAGTTAAATTCATTCGCAAAGGCTTTTTTACCTACGCAAGTCTGTGCAATGCACAAAGTTGCGAGAGCCAAATGGCGCCCCTGGAGCGCTGCAAATCCAGAAAGCGAAAAAAAAGTTGAAATAAAAATTTCATCTCATAGAGCGACAAATAAAGGCTCTTATTCGGGAAATTGTCCGTTACGAAGAATGTTTTAGTAATGGTTTATACCGTTTTTACGTTTTCAGACATTTCTTTCTTTTTTTGGCAAAACCAATTCGCTCTTAGAAGCGAAGAAGAAATAATTTGACGAAGAATAAGTTGAAACAATTAGGTGCATCACACATCAAGTTTACGTTAAATGTTTGTCAAACGTTCGAATTTGAACATTTTCTATGTTTTTAGTGATAAAGTTAGTCGCCCTGGTCATAATAGCGGTTGAGACCCAGAACAAATTATCTTCGATTGCCGGAATTTCGATTGTAGATGAAAAACTAACAGCCGCTTAAGAGTTTATTTGTAGATTTTATTGAGAAAAAAAATTCGCCCAAAATTTGACATGTATTTCACAAATTGTGAATCACAATCTGTTTTTTTTTCTTCCAAAAATGCAAAAGACGTCACAGTTCAACATGCACCAGGAGCTGAAATGCCTTATGGTGTCCCCGTATTTTATAATTTTTCTGGGAACAAGTAGGTGGAAAAAGCCGCTGTTCATTTCCTCCACTATGCATAAAAAAAATATAAATTTGCATGTAGTAACAAAAAATACATTTTTTTTTTCAAATGTCCTAGTCAAAAGAATTACAAAATCTGGATTTTATTTCATTTTTAAAAAATAAATAAATATTATGAGTATAAAATAGGAAGTCTCTTTAATTCAAAAAATCATGTTTTTGGCCCCAAAAATTATTTGAAAGATTAGAAGCTCTACATCAAAAACAATTCACTTCATACATTTTGTGATAATTAATATCCTCCCATTATTCCATTATTATCGCTAAACTATGTTCATTTAGTACAGAAGAAAAAAAAGCCATAAGCATCAAACTAAGATGCTCCAAGGGAATTCCGGGCAGTTGTTCACGATAGAAATGTGAACGACCATAAAAAAAGGTTATGTGGATATTTGTGAGAAATCTCAACAACAACACATTTTCTGAATGTGAAATTCGAATGTAAAAAAATGCAAAACAAAAATGTGCCACAGGAGTAGCTCACAAAATGACGAAACAACACGCACTACTATGCCTATCTATTTTAAAATTCTGCTTGAATCCAAATAGCTTCAGTGTGTTCTTATCAAGCCACGTACAATAAAAAACATTCATTTCTGTTTGAGTTTGCATTTTCATGTTTTCATACAAATTTTACAATAATATTGGTAAGATATAGAAATTAGTCCCAGTTCTTTATCTCATTTGAGATCTTTCGTCATTATGTGTCCTGTTTCCATAGAAAATCACGCAATTTCTTCAAAAATAAAAAGGCGAAATGACCAGGTTGTGGTAGAACCAAGAGTAAAACTATTGCGGAAATAATGTTTGTAATGTTTGTCAGGTCATTAAGACGAACAAAGATGGATTCGTTCCACTTGAGCGCATCGTGAAGAAACCTGTCATATGATTCGGTATAAATTATCAGCGTTCAAATTTGGATCTCGTTTGAATTTGACGGCTAGCGGGCGAATAATACAAGTCGATGAAAACTCGATGACTTAATTCTACATCTATTAGTGCACAATTTCAGACAAATGGTGGATATTTAAAGCGAAAAAAAGAAAATTAATTGTACACTCATAGTTGCAGTGAGCGCGGAATATTAAGTGTATTGCTTTCAATCAAATTAAATTTTAAATTAAGCATTATCATAGATTCATCGATGCATGCCCCATGAATTCAATTATTTCGTTTTCGTTGAGACCGGCCGCTGCAATGAGTGTAACGTATTTCAGATGCAATTTCTGAAGTACGAGAAAAAAAATACTTTGTCAAAAACGGATCAAGAAGGCAAGAGAGAGAGAGAGAGAGTGCTTATTGAATTGTTGAACATTTGTCTAATTTATCGTAAGTTATTCCCGCTCAATGCTCTAATTCTTTTGATTTTCTCTGCTTGGTGCAGAAAACGTATGGATCAGTTTCGTTTTGTAAAGCACATGTTTTGTTTCATTTTCATGTGAATCGTGTTTTTTCTTCTCTTCATTTTTTTTCTTCTTCAAAGTTTTGGTATATTTGCATGTTTCTGTCATTTCATTTCGCATTCGATGTTTCGAATCGATATGTGTGAAGCTAGGCCACTCTTTTTCCTCCTCTATTTTTGTTTACTTATTGCGCAAAATTCTCTCAAAATCTTTATTTTTGTATCTCAAGGAATCATTTTTATATGAAGCATCCGAATAGTTGAGTTGAGTTGAGTTTCGGTTTTCCGTTCTAAATGTTTCGAATAGAAAATCAATTTTGATTGCCTGCTGCTTGGTAGCTCCGTCACCATTTTCCGTTTTGCCATCTCGCAACTGTTCTCGTCCACACATCTATTACTTGGTTGGCCAACAAACAATCAGAGATGTCTAAAAATGGCATTCACCGATAAAAATCAACCGATGGCCCATCGCTTTGTTACACACATTAAGGACATAACGAAACCCAATTTCTATATTATGACAGAAATAAATCGCTTTAAGTGGACAACCTTTCTCTTCGCGCGTTGAGATACAGAAATGAGGTGAGCATGAAATGCACGAGAGCGAAAACGCGATATATATAGGGTGTGTAAATGTGTGTTTAAAAATAGGAAAAATGTTTCAGAAAAACTGTATGATGTGTTCGCATGAAAGAAATAGTTTTCTATATTTAAATTATGAATTAATGAGACACTCTTTCTCTCGACGCTTACTGTCGTTTTCGTGTTGTGTTGTGCTGTGCTGTGCAATAGTCAAAATTGCAGGCAAAACTCAGGAATTATGAAGAAAGCATTCAACAGTAGTAGCAACAACGGGCTTGCCCCCTAGACTGTACGGAATTGACTCGATTTCAAATCAACATAGCTTGTTTTATTCCTTGTGCCCAGCAGAGTATTTTGATATAAAAAATTTATTCCAAAATTATTTCTTCGCGATCAAAATTGAAAAAAATAATAATAATGATTTAATCCAAACAGTTAATCAGGCTACTTTTGCATTTCAG